ACACCCCCCCCCCCCCCCCTTTATGTGCTGCCTCTTAATTTCAAGAAAAGATGATTATTACGAATTCATTATTAAAGTCTTGTTACGGACTTTAAATGCGCACTGTTTGGCAATGGTCTTGTGGTTTCTATAGTAAGTGTGTCACTTTATTTCTGTGTCACACTTTCATTCGTCTTGATATGACGGTGTCATCCGATTGAGTGGAGAGTAAAAGGTAAAAATGTGGTAGCTCAAACTACATTAAATGGAACTAATGACGCATTAGAACGGTGTCTAATTGATCTGATTAAAGGGCTATCAGCTACATGGTTGATGCCTGCTAGAGGATGCAGAACGTAGCCGTTTCGTCATCATCGTCATTTTGAACATCATCATTATTATCGCATTTGCGGTGGATAGAAAACGAATGTATTTGAATACGAGAATTTCTGTTTCGGTACTGACGATTTTTAGAAAGATTACATCATTTAGACTGTCACGTTAATAAAACGTTATTTAAAATTATTATGAGATTATTTTAGCATCCACGAAAATTAGAATGTCCTCCCATCTTTGAATTAATTCGGTCTGAGTCGTAAATTGATTTGTAAGATAAATGTTAGTGATTTACGTTTGCATCTCCAGTAAAGTGGGCTAATATAAAATTAGATGCACCAATTTTTGAATGGAACTAAAAGACACATGGGAAATAAGTTGCGTTTAATGTTGAGAGTTTCTTTTGCATTTCCACGAGGCTTAATCGAAATCCTGCAACCACACAACTGTTTTAACGGGTTTACAGTTTAGCAGATACCAAAACAGTCTAACAGCCTGAGAAACCAAGACCAGGGAGACTAGTTCAGCTTTTTCTTTTGTTGTTTGTAAAATTTTGTATAGCTGCACCACAGCCTTGTGGTGACAACTGAGCTCCTCATGCCTTTACTTGTCGAACATGAGGAAATTAAAAAGAAAAGGTGGGTTAGTGACTTCGCTCACACACGAAGCGGATAGTTGTGGTAAGAGTGCCTGTGTCATCCGAATTTATGGCTGTTTTGCTAGTAGCACAGGTAAACAAAACCATGGAACCCTTTCTTATCACTAATTAATTTTTTCCCTCTACCCAGATAGAGGCCTTAAGATGTCGTTTATAACCTATGGATATGTTTTTCCAAATAAGAGGATGAGGCACACCCCATAACTTTGCTCTAAAGAAGAATATTATCGCGTTGTGGGCTTCATGTGACGTGGACCGTATGAATTTCCGTTTGTTTCATTGGAAATGCAAATTGGACGAAGCGCTTACGTTTTTCACTCAGCATGTTACATGATAAGCATTCACAGCTTAACATGTTTATCTGCTGAGTGTTGATGGATTATCATCAGCATTATATCCCAGTGTTCAGTTTTCTGACAGTTTTTTTCTTTTGGAAAAGAAGAAAAGCAGAAGTAAATCGAAACTAGGTATTTTTTGCCAATATGTAGCTTCGATATTCATGAAAACGATCACAAGCACGCCATGCACTTTGACGTGAAGTGCAATATAAGGAGTTAAACGTGCAGCCATGCAGTATGTGTGGCTCCCAAACACAGCTGTTGGAGCTTGCGATTCCACTGAAGGCAAATAGAAGAACGGAACTATAAACAAGTGAAACAAATAATTACAATTTCTTAAAGTCGTCTTCTTTTTGAGCTCATAAAAATATTAATAAACGGTCCATTGTATTGCTCTCAAACAGACCACGTTATTAAAGCATCCTGGTTTTAAAAACGGAGAGAGAGAAACAGCTTTAATAAGAAAAACCTGAAGGGGCTCAAAGGCACATCAGTGCAAACAAGCAGAGGAAGTGTTAGAAATTCAAGCATGTGACGTTGTGTGATGTTATTTAGAAAATACCCCTCAAGCATTAAATTATGGATTTCGACGTGCTATGGAGGAGCTGCACTTGCGCAGGCATTGTGCGTGCGCAACACCACCGGACGCACGCTGTTTGTGTGGGCCATCAAACGCTGGGGTATGCAGTCGTCTGCTTGGCAGCATATAGAACCAAATAACATGACTCAGTACATCCTGCAGGAGCTGGACTATTTCAAATAGAGCATGTTGGTGTTTTTAACGAAGCATTAATACTGTAGCCTATATACATACTTTTTTTTTAAAGTCTTAAAATAAAAGTGTAGAGTGTAACTTTAAAAACCCAACAACAAGCCTACTGTTTTTCAGAATAGACAAGAGGATAAGCCTGTTACCAATCCATCTCTGATTTCACAGAAACCTTATTAGACAGAAACCTTATGCTCTCTCCTGCAGAGCACAGGACGAAGCTCTGACTCCATCATTACGCAATTTGTCTGACAAGTGATGCGTTGCCTTCACTTGAGGTATGAACAATTCAATTCGACACGGACCATTCTGGGCTCGTGAACAGTACAGGCGTGTAGAGTGTGCAAATCGTGCGTGGAGGCTCACTGATGCCAACATACTCCATACAGGCTAAACCGCTATTATTTACACATTTAGTCTGATAGTGACGACACAATTTTTTTTAAATTTATTTGTATGTGTTTAATACACTCTAGCAGCATTCTTTAAGAATACACTATTATTATTAGTACTAGTTGCGTTTTACCGTTAATAAAAGTACAATTTACAATAATTATTATAAAAATAACAGTCATGATAATTTGCAACAGTTTCACTGACTGTAATAATCACATTCTTTTTAATTAATTTATGGGAATTTTTGAACAACTGCGTAAAAATGCAGTGTCTATTCTTTACAACTACCGTTTAAATGTTAATAGTTGCGGTGCCATTAATCAGATAAAGCATGTATTTCGCTAGCATTATTATTATTATTATTATTGTTTTAAAACGTCACCCGGTTTCAGATTGCCTCACCTTAGACGTGTATTATGTCACAGAAACGGAAGGAAGGTGCATGCCCGTCCGGCCTAAAAAATGCAGAAGATGAAGCAGTTTGGGAAGACCTTTGATCCCTCGCTCCTGACCTTGTGTTATTTCAGTTACCAGAGGCACCCCAAGGCAAACAAGTTGGGCACGTTTCCCCGCCGTAAACATTATCCTTGTTGCATCAGCGGCCTGGGAGCGGAGGAGGGTGGGCAGGTGGGTGCACAAGAGGTGATGCAGCGATAAATACATTTATAAAAACAAACAAAAAAATAAATAAAATAAAACAGAAGAAAGAGTCCATTAAGACAACCCCAACTGGTCTTCTTATGACAAATAACCGTTCATGAAGGCAAAAACAACTCCAGCGTGGGGAGAAAAAGTAATTTACGCGTTTTTAAAGACACGTCTAACCGACTTGCATTGCCGTGGAGGCACTATAATTTGTTCAGTTTCTGAGTTTGACGCGATCCTAGCAAAGGTGGGAAAGCTAATCATAATATAGGCATCCAGCATCCAGCCTGCAGAGCTGTGCGTGCTGAAACAAATACCGAGAAAGACTTCGTGTACATTCTGGCCCCTAAAAGCCGCTTCGGTGTTTAATGTTAGCAGAGGTTTTCAACAATATTCTTAATTGCACTGCAGCGCAGGGGTGCTGTTTGATGTTTACATGCACACTGATCTCTTTAGATTGTACAGAGATGAAGGTCAGTCATGCACCGTGGCCTTCTTAAAATATGACACGGAAAATCCAAAGCATGTGTCAAAACGGGGAGTGAGCGAAGGCGCAAAATTATGGCGTGTGTTTGTTTCTCGTGTCGGGGAGCAACAAATCTTTCTTATTGCTTGCAACTGGGGTTTCTGTGCAGAAAGTGCTTGCCTGCTGAACATGTGAAAGTAAGGAATATTCCCTCTATAACACACTGAGCTGCAAACGTTGAGCTTGAAAGACAATCGCGTAAAGGTTAAGAAATAAAAGGTAATTATGTTATCACATAAGAACCTTAACAACCTGCATTCCATTAACGCTCGCTGGGCATAATTGGCTAAAAAAATTGGCCTGCTTTGCGCAGGCTAAGCCTAAAGAGACGTGCAGCTTATAATAGAAACGTGAAAATAAATAATTGTTTAAAAAAAACAATGATTTGAATTGTATTTTTCTTTTGACACGTGTCCGACTAAAAAAAACGAAATAATACCTAATGTCAAATGGGCACAAAATTGAAACCTGGCCATGGTTTTTAACTGTGCCGTGTATTTTCAAACTGCATGACAAGAGAGATTAAATTCTAAAGATTAAACTTATTCGCCTCATTTTCACCAAATCGCTGGAGCGTTTGGTCTGCTGTCAGTCTATGCTCGACGCCTGAAAGAGAATAAAAGAAGAAGAAGAAGAAAAGAAATACTTGGGTGACAAATAAGAAAAAAGTTATGATAACCTTCAAGTGCAATGAGATAGAATTTACAAACATCAACCAGCCAATTACATTACAGAAAAGCAATCATTCATTTCCTGCCATTTCCTTAATGATGCCATTTAAAAGCTTGAGATGAAAGTTAGTGTGGCGGAGCATAAAGCCACACAAAGTCGGGTCTTTGGAGCTGAACTTTTATTTTATTTTGAAAGGCAACTGATTATTATAAAAACAGCTGCATAAAATAAAACCGGTTACTGCTGGGGTCGAAAATGCACACATTTGTGGGGTTTCCCCCTATAAATAAATTCACATAATATTTCAGTTGGTGTTTCCTTGTGATGCTCACAAATAGGAACCTGTTTGTCTTTTTTTTTTTTGGTATCTTCACATCATTGTTGAAAGAGTGAAGATGCGATCCCGTACGGATACTGGATTGCACTCAACCTGCCTAAAAAACAAAGCCATTCATGGTGGCATGTCCCCGTTTTTTGGATAGCAGGATGAGAGGGACCCGGGTGTGTGGGTGTGTGTGACACTCTGAAGTTGTCATGACAAACTTCTGGGCCAATGATAATTTAGATCTGTGCAAACTCGAAGGCAAATGGGAGGGTCCGATCCAATCAGCGGGGGGAGAACCCTCGGAAGCCCAGCCTCCTGATTTCAACAGATTGAAATGTAAGCCTGTCTCCAGCGCCGTCAGGAAACAGATCGAGAATTTTGTCTCTCTTGTTCCTTATCGCGCAAGAAGATTTTCTTGGACGCGATTTTAGAAAGTGGACACGCTGGACGCGGAGCAGGACCCACGCAGGAGGCACAAAGCGGACACCGTATTCTTCATTTGCGGCTTTAACACGATGGGTGAGTTCAGTGTTGTATCGCTTTTTGGTTTCTTGACAGGGATGCAGCGATCGGTGCAACTTCTTAAAGCAAGGTGGGGGGAATTTAGCGAGATATTGTCTGTGGTGTTTTGACGGATTAGTTTAGTCTTTAATCCAGAGCATATAAAACAGGGCGATGAGTATTTATGTGGAGGTTACGCACGAATTTTGGCACTTCCCACCGGACATCGGTGTGAAATCTACCCTGCATGAACGACAGCTATCAGCGATCACTTAACACAGTTGATCCATAACTTCAGTTGTTTAGCGGGAGTGAAAACTTTGCTGAAAAAACAAAAATTCAAGTTTAAAATCAAGTGCAAATGTGAGAAGGTTGATTTTTCCCCCCCCGTCGTATATAAATAACAAAAGTTGAAATATGTTGACTGAGACACAAATAAACTATCAGCATATCTGCTGAAATTCATATCTGTAATATAAGCATATATTATTTAAATATTCTGTTATATTATAAATAAGGGGTCGTTAGCAGTGTGGAGGGCCTTGGGTTGGTTACCTAATCGCTGTCTCACTGTTGTGCCCTTCTGTGTGTTTGTTTTTGACACCAGAGCCTGCCTTCGGTGAAGTGAACCAACTCGGTGGTGTTTTCGTAAACGGCAGGCCGCTCCCCAACGCCATCCGGCTCAGGATAGTGGAGCTGGCCCAACTCGGGATTCGACCCTGTGACATCAGCAGGCAGTTGCGCGTGTCCCACGGCTGTGTCAGCAAGATCCTGGCTCGCTACAACGAGACCGGCTCCATCCTCCCGGGGGCAATCGGAGGCAGCAAGCCGCGGGTCACCACACCCACCGTTGTCAAACACATACGGACATACAAGCAGAGAGACCCGGGGATTTTTGCCTGGGAGATCCGGGACAGGCTACTCGCTGACGGGGTTTGCGACAAGTTCAACCTGCCCTCCGTTAGCTCCATCAGTCGGATCCTCCGAAACAAGATTGGGAATCTGTCCCAGCAGAGCCAGTATGAGTCGGGCAAGCAGGCGCCTCATCCACCGCCACAACCAACGTTACCCTACAACCACTTATACTCATACCCGACGTCCAAAGTGCCCACTCCCCCTGGCATGCCCACCCTTCCCGGACACATGGCCATGCACAGGATATGGCCTTCCTCGCACTCTGTAACTGATATTCTGGGGATACGGTCTATTACAGAGCAACAAAGTAAGCATGGCTGCATGGAGGGCGGTTACATTTGTTTATTGCACCACATATAACCAACTTTTGAAGGGGTTTTGCGCGCAAGAGTGCGAATGTGTGTGTGTATGTGTGTGTGTATTTGGAATAAAACCGGCACTTGTGTTTTTTTTCTCCCTTTGAGTTAGTGTAATTGTTTTTATAGGCCTCCAAAAGTAACTATTGGAACGTTCTAAACCCACAGGCCTTTTTGGAGAGAGAAAGCTTAAATGCCATTTGACCTGCCTGCTGATATTGATTTTAAAAGGAGGCAGGTTAGTTCAGAAACAGATGGTCCAGCTTGCAAGAATAATTAAGAGGCGGATGTGGAATATTAGAGGGACAGCGGAGGGAAAGGCGGTGAGACGAAGTGTATCAAAATGAGGTGTGCTGAATGTTTGCCATGACTCGTTTTGTGCAGAACTGTGCATTCAGCGGTTTGCCCGATTCAGGCCTCAAATAAGTATCTCGCATTAGAATGCGTTTTCTGCTGCGTGGGTTGTGTTTTGTCCACATGCAGGTAGGCCCAGATAACTTTGCCTTGTACTCAACAAAACCGCAATTGTTTTGGAAACAGTGAAACAGGATCCAGCATAAATCAGTGCTAATGGTCGGCTCGGTGGTGTGAGAGGGCTTCTTCTAAGAGCTTGTTTTCCAGTGGCAGGAAGGGAAGTGTTGTCAGTCCATTGCCGCAATCCTGTTGCTGTCAGGATTCAGGGCTGCCATGCAGAAACACGCCCCGGCCTCTTCCACTTCCACCGCCATGCAAAGCTTCACTCGAGCAATATAAATAACATAAATGTAAAGCAGATATCCACGAAAGCTCACGGGGTGGGGTGGGTGGGGGGAGAACAGTGTTTTGAGGGGCTGCCTTTATAAACAATTTATGCATTTCTAAATTATTAGCAGATGCTTGTGGCAGGTTTTTGAACGCTGAGTTGAAGTTTTTAGCACATTTAGTAAAGTGAGAGATTTGCCACATACTTTTTAAAAATGGGTTTGGAATTAATGGAAATGATAGGAAATAAAATAAAATAAAACACGTGCACGGCTAAAAATGTAAAATATTAGTGGCTTTGTCTAGGGTAGTTTTTATTTTTACGCACACGGACAACACATTCAAAACTCCCGAGGGTTGATAAAGTCGCAGAGTGTTATAATATTAATATGTGCAGCACGCAGTTTGTTTACAGCTCTTTGTCGAAATTATTGTGATGGCTTCTCTCACAGTAAACAACGGGGAATCTATGTAGTGTGCCCATCATGCACAAGAAGGAGACGATGAAAGTCAATTCAATTTGTCTCCGACAGCGAGACAATTTTTTTTCCTCTAATATCCTTGACCCAGAGAGAGGGAGTCGCTTTAGCCATAACTTAAAAAAGAAATGGATTAAAAAAAAACCCAACTACATTTAGTCCCATGTATTCTGAGCACATTTTCTTTACGACGAATAAAATAAATAAATACATAATTAAAAATATGACAGATAATTTCACCTTTGTGTTAGGTTCTCATTCACAGCACTAAAGAAAAATATAAATTTACGACAAAAGGCAATTATCAGGCAAAAAATACTTTCCCCAAACTTTTATTTTCAGAAGAGATTATCTCAATTTCAGACATCTGGAAAATGTTTGAAAAAAATAATACAGAGTCTAGGTTTCATACACTTGAAACTCGGCTGAAATACAGTACATCGGATAATAGATAATACAAAGATAATTGTTTAATGGCTCAAGGAAACATTTAAAGAAGCATTACACACAGGAAAGACCTTCAACCTACGTGCTATTCATACCTAAATTGACAAATAATCAGTTCAGAATGTCACAGGGTTTATTGTCTTGTGCAACCTGGCTAACCTGCGGTTAACGGATGCATGAATCACAGCAGCGGCCTGTGCCGGTCTTTTTTCCCCCTAACCTTAGCACAGTCTCCTCCTGACCGCCCTCTCTTCTCTCTTTCTCTTTTGCCCCCCCTCCCAGTTAGTGACAGTCCATCCTTTCCCAGCACCACTCTAGAAGAATGGAGCGCTATTAACAGGACTAATTTCCTACCAGCAAGCTCTCCACTAGTCAATGGCGTGGATAAGGCGCATTTAGAACCTGAGGCAAAATACACACAGGTAAAAAAGTGGAAATCTCAATTTTTTATTTTTTTTGTTTGTTTTTTAATCAGGAGTACAGAAAGAGCGAAAAGAGTGTAGGCTATTAATCTACTTGCAGACTTGAGTATTCTTCTATTTTAACAGTTAGCATGGAAACTTCCCATTTCACAGCATTAATGCGCTCCTTCTGCTGGCTGGGGTGCATTTTTATTTCACTCTCTCTTCTCTTTTTTTTATTCTGGCTTTACAAGGGGCAGTTCGTTTAGGCCCTGCTGCTTGGTCAGTGCTTTTATGGATGATTACAGAGCAGATTATTTAACAATAAGCACATCAAATGGGGTTTAAATAGCCTAGTTATTATTAACTTTTAGGATTTTGAAAATTAAGTGTAGCGTGCTTCACACTCGAGACAATGGCTGGACCCCTGAATAAGAGCCAGTTGCCTCCTGTTTTCGTTTCCCTGGTAAATTATACAGTATTTGAATTGGCTGGTTTTAATGCTGTAGCCTAGTCAACGACAACCATCATCCCGTCATTTGTCTGTGAGTTTTAAAGTAGGCTTTGGGATATTGTTGTGTCCTTAATGGCAGTCCTGCAGCTCTAAGCGTCCGGTGCATTCGTTATTTTGCTGGAGCGGTTAAGTCCACGCTAAAAACGCCGACTCAAACATACAATAGTCAAAAATTAATACACGAATCGTTACTGACTTTCATGCAACTTAAGATGTTTTTCGTTTTATTTCCTAATGTTATGTAGCTTTAATAAAATGTATATGGCCAAACTCAATAAGCTGCAAGTCTGAAAGTGATTGGATAGATTTTTATTCAGCTTTATCTCCGCTTTTCTATCTAAAACTAACGCAGGTCTACACACCACTCATCGCAGGCCTTTAATGTAATTTCCCTCCCAAATCACGCTTGTGTGCGCATGCTTTCCTTTTCTTCTTTTATTTTGAAAGGGCTTGTGATTCTGGTCACTGACAGAAAACGTTTCCATGCACATCATTTATTTTGCTACTTTATCATGGGGGACTTTTCATTCTCATTATGAAGGGGAAAAAAAAAGATTGAACCGATGCTGGAAGATTAGGAGCGCTCAAAGTGGACGCACACTAACTGTCTGAGCGGTTAGCCAAGCAGCTATACAAAAACAGAAGTGAGCCATTAAATGCAGAAAATAACAACTCCATAAATTACACAGTTTATTGCATGAAAAACAAAAAATGGCGAAGCAAGAACTGTTCCACCAAAACACTGAGGATTAAAATGTGCCCCATCACTTCGATTTTATACATGCAGACTCTGCAGCCTGCTAAGATCTAATGTGACTTTAGACTTTGTTAAATTTGTGTTTGTCAGACAGGCTGAGACGCAGGGAAAGTGCGCGGTCTTGCCAGGATCGTGTTCAAACAAGATGGCTAAACAACTTTGTATCTATCAAACTACAAGTCACTTTTTACCACCAGTTTCAAAGCACGATCTTTCTTGCAGCAGCAGGGAACTTGTTGTTTTTGGTTTTCTTTTTTAATTTTTCTGAAGGTTGACTTTCAGCTAAGAAAACTAACCAAAGCTGGCCAATGAAAACCTTTGACGGCTTTACATTTCTGACAAATTTCCTAACACCTATTTTTCCATAAGGACCAAGACCGCGGCTAGAAACCTTTGGCCTCTGCTCTGAAGGCAAAGCGGGCAGATGCACCCGTGTGTGCTTCTCTGCAAGATTGCGAGCATCATTAACACAGATTAAGGTTAAATCACGAACCGCGGCTCGGAGTTAATGCAAAAGTGTTTTAAAAACGCTTGAAAGAGGCGAAATGTTTAACAAAACATAGCCTACATATTATATATATCTAAAAAAAAAATTTTAAATTTGTAATCTCTGGAAATTTAACAAAAAAACAAACAAACAAACTCAATGTCCTGAAGTTTAGTTTAAATTATTTATTTAAAAAAGAAATACAGGGATTAGAGCAGCAGTAAATTCGCTAAAGTATTTTGTCGCATAGTCGACCAAATACACCAAGTGTTTTATTTATTTTTATTATTATTCATAACAATGAAACACTTTAATGTTATTATTATTAATATGAATTTTAAAACTTTTTAATAGTAATGTTAAAGTAAGTACAAGTGATGTAATTCAAGTTTAAAAACGTTTTATATATACGGAGGGCGGAGGATGAAAGAACAGGTCCGCCTTATAAATTATACAATCAGATACAAGATCAGTCCCATAAATTCGCCTTTTGTATACTCGTTTGATTTTGTTGACTTTGTGTCAGACAGGTGTTGATTCAACTATGTGGTCGTTCCGGAGGCTGCAGTTAGTTGTGTTCTTGCAGTAGTCAGTTGCGTAAAACTGAAAGGGAGTTTCTTTTCTTTTCTTTCTCTCTATATACTATATATCTATATCTATGTTATATCTATACCTATAGATAGATAGACATTGCCATGAGCCGAATGTGTGTCTGTATGTATAAGTATACCATGTGCAAACACTAGGCTGTGTGTAATATATGATGTTTTTCAAGAGTGGAAATGTGTTAATTTTGGGGAAACTGTTTAATTACATTTGTTGATTTAAATTGGAAAAAAACAAGAATAATATAATGGGCTGTCTGTACAGGACTTAATGAAATACATTTCAGTATATTTGAGTGAAGTTATGATACAAAACACCCGCATACTCATACACACATGGTCAGACACCCACAAACAACTGCCTCAGACACCCACAGCCACCCAGTACAGACCCACAGACACCTGCAGGCCCAGGCCCAGGCCCAGGCATGCACACACACACACACACACACACACACACACA